TGTATCTGTTGTAGTTCGTCCCAACTCCTGTGCATTGATTCATGTCTTAACCTTGTGATCCTGGTTGACCTTTCCTTGTTAAGTGCTACTGTTATTCTGGGTATGGATCAAATATCAACACAGCTTTATGTAGCAAGGTAGTTATTGAATACAAGTGTTCAGGTCAATACATATTGTTTTCAACCTGAAGAGATAATTGTCAACTGACGCATGGTTATTACTTTGTGATGGTTGGCTAGGACAAATGCATGCAAAAAGAATTCATTGCATAGTATATATTCTTTATTCGATTTTGTGAATTTACAGTTCTGGCAGGTTTTCTGGTTCACCTTGGACCATACATGAGTTCTGTACAACTACCTCACTCTATGTGAACAACACAAGTGCCACCCATGCATGGAACTAATTGGCTATACATGGCCATACATTTAAGAGTTGTAATTTAATTAAATCCATATTGATAATATTTGTACATAATTGATAGTGTACAGTGTGTGTTCAATGAATCTCATAAAATCTTATCAAGATGTTTATAGACCATGATAAAAAATGTATTTTTGGTAGATATTGACAAATAAATGCTATATTTAGAAAATCGGACAGTAATATACTTTGCCACACTGTACTATAGTCTGGTCTTGTGGTCAATAAACTTATTATTCCAATCCTTTAATTGTGCTTTCTAACCTCACAATTATTGTTGGCTTCTACAGTGCCAGTAATATACACATTGAGCTTATTACAGTGGCTGGCTTTAATGGGAATAACTTGCATATCGTATAATGTTTCAAACCAAGTCAAAGGTTTTGATGAAAATTGGTTATTAAGACGGTAAGAGTTATTTGCTGTTTATGGTGTGTATTCCAAGGCACATGTTACTAGCTAAGCTGCATGCTTCTCAATTAGAATATTGGTACCTTCATTCACTACACTGCTAGTCTTACACTGAAGTCAACAAAGTCATGTACGTTATAATTTATAAACAAAAATATCTATAAATGAAAAAAACATTTATTTAACATCATATGAGCTTGTGCAGTAAGACACAGATTACATGGTTAGGTAGAAAATCATAAATTGTCATAGGTTGTCACCACTGCACAACAATTTAAACTATTTGAAAATAATGTATTATGTATTAATGGGTATATTATACAAGTGCCTGTGGTGCCTGTAAATGAAGTTTTAATTTATACAAGCAGGACTAAAATACTGTTATTTCATGGTTTTGATATTCCAAACTTGACCAGAATCAAGATTTCTTTTTTCAAAATCAGGACATAAGTTCAACTACACACACTATGTGTCTGTCCATCTCATCTGTGGCAGCATTGTCAAATTTGTGTTGAATTTTCAGCATTAACACATCTCCTGCTGACAGTAATGTACAGATGGGCAAAATGATCATGAATGGGGGAAAAACCAGTGTCAGTAGACGTAAAAGTCACAGCGTACGAGATCCATCTTGGGTTTTTCTTAGAATTGTTTATTTACCAAAGATGAAACTGTCAAAATTGTTCATAAATACCTGGACAGTTTCAACCGGTCACTGGTAGCATAGTGGTTGTCGCATCAGACTCATGATCGGTAGACCCAAGTTCAAATCCATCTTAGGCTGAACATCAAAAAGGTCAACCCCTACCCTGGGTGAGTGTGCCAGAGAATCAATGGGAAGGCCAATTCCACTGGCCGAGATTCATTCACTGAGAATACGACTTTGGGGGAACCTTGGTTAAGGTCCACAGGTGCTTGTGTTTGACTGAGCCTGGTTGACGCCAGGATTGTGCATTAAAATTGCCATTTGATAAGGAGATGGCCACACAGCCCTGTCATGTAGTCCCAAACATGAATATAGCTTGTGTGGTGAAAATGTACTATGTGTCAGCACTTGCACTTGAAATTTGCACATACAAAAATAAGACAGGAGAGACAACAGTGGCATTCAATGCCCGGAACTGTCGCCTGGCAAAAAAAAAAACTTAAAAAAAAAAAAAAAACTCTGTGACCACTCCATATATAATTGATGTTGACAAGCATAGGCAAATTTGTGTCCCCCACATTGTGAATGCTCAATCTGTTTTATCACAGATTGGTTGATACTATGATTTGTGACTATTTGCTGTTAGAGTGATTTTGCTTAAGGGGCAGTGGTTGTTGTGCCATGACATATACGATGTCAATTGACAGTTATTGTTGGTTTACTCCATATTGAAATGTGCGCTGCATGATGACCATGTATGAAAAATGTGATCAATTATACCGGTAATACCATGTGCTGCCCATTGAAAAATGTGATCAATTATACCGGTAATACCATGTGCTGCCCATTATTGACATGCTGCATTCTCATTGGTTGATTGGTACCATGTGCAATCATCTGATAACAGGGTAGTGCTTGAGGTCAATATATGAGCATAAGAAAAAGATTGTGTGTGTGTGTGTTTGTGTGAGTGTTTGTGCAACTCGTCAAGAGTTTTCCCAATCCTGATCATTTTCATCTGAAAATTTACCTTTGTACATATATTTGCATGTCATTTACTTATAAACTTTTACACGTAACTGAAATACAAGAGTCCATGGCGTGTGGTTCACCACACTTTCTAATTCTTTCTTCTAAAGCTACATGGTATTATAATTGAAATAAGGCACTCTGGCAGTGTGTAAACTGGGCTTGAATAATGTGCCCTGTTATTTAAACAATAATGAATCCCCCCACAGTGCGGCCATATTGGATGAGGAAAGGGTCTATGGCGAGATTATACACGAGACAAAGCTAAACACATTATCACGTCTAGACCCTTCTCTGAATCCAATATGATGCTGTGGGGGGGGACTCATTATTGTTATAAATCACTACCAATGTAAAGCTATGATGTCATAAAAACCTCCTCTGCTATACTGGTCAGTGTGTTGTTCTTTATTCCCTATGTAATGGATTGATATATAATAGGAATAACCCCCACCACTTGTCTGTGATCAGTTCATTCCATATACACACTGACTACAGCTCATGTGAAACTGGTCAAAATATTGTTGTACATATATATTCTTCTGGGCAGTCTATGTGTGTGAGAGGGGGATACTCGGTGTTCTTTAATTTTACCAAAAATTTCAACCTGGATTTCTGCAGCAACAAAATCTGGTATAGAACTAACTGTTATCGTAAAATTGCTTCTTAAAACTGCATTTTTTGTAATTGGCAATCCCCTTCTGTTTATTAAATCGAAACAATCACATACATATTGTCTAGCAACTGAAAAGACGATCTCTACTTTCTGGTTACTGAGGATTATCCTAACAAAAGACAAAACTATGGACACACATTTTTACCTAATGGTAATTCACTTGCACTATGTCCTCAGAAACATGAATATTTTTTATAATGCTGAAGCTATCCAACTATTTGAGATCATCTATTTGGTAGGACATGTGGCTATGTCTGTGGGTGGCCATCTCTCCATGTGAGAAATCTGTACATTACTCGTAGATTCATTATTTTGTCAAGAAATCAATGGACTGTCGAATATCCATTATTTCGTTATTTAATTTATTTTCACCGATTTGTGATCATCTTACACGAGTGGAGGATCATTGTATCTTTACTGCCTTGACCCTGCCCACCGCCAGCTCTAGGCAATTGACCCGGTCGTCCACTAGCTATACGCTAAGCGACAACCCCAAGTAATTCAACTCGTACTGGTTGATTAGAACTAAGTGTGTTCTCAAAAAATGCCAGAAATGTTGTACTCAGACATGTCAAAGATAGCAATAATTTTATTTTTAATTTCTTTAAAATGCCGACTTGCTCGATATGGTTGACATTTAATCTGATTAAATTCTGCTTACACATTTATGATTCAAACCTTGAACCACAAACATAACTAAGAAATTGTCGCTGATCAAATGTTTTCATTTACTAACATATACTTTTATAAAAAAAGACATTGTCTTTTTTCTTCTAAACTTTTAAATTTGTAGAGAACGACTAGCATTAACATTAAAAGTTTTTTTGCAGGTATATTAGGATTGTGATTAATACAATAACAGTGTTACAAAAACTATCTTAGATGACATCAAGGTCTCTTGTCTGATGTAGATCTAGGATTTCATGCAGATTATGACTCATGCCGAGCACTCATTTTGAAAATCCTGCCAATAGAAAGTGTGTATTTGAATTTGTAATGAACAACCTGCATCTTGCACATCTCCTTCATTGAGACGGTTCTGTAATACAGGAAATGTTCAGAAGATATGGTGCTACATTTCTGTTAGCTTGCAGCTCAGGTCTTGAAGCAACCATGTATATCAGTGCTTAATTACTGATAGGATTGAATCCAATTATACTGTTTGTTTTTGCCTCCAGTTGAGATTAACTTTCAAGAATATGTGAGTTACCAGATGTACTTTTTAGTAGAATATGAAATAATATATGCAGGACATGTGAAGATATAAGAATTGCCCACTCCTATGATTTTAAATAATAACTTTATTGACATTATTCATTTTGAAAAGAACATAGTCAAATACTATTCTAAGAAACAAAACAAAAATAACAACAACAAAAAAGAAGAGATGAAAATAAATATACTGTTGGCACTGGTTTAGAAAATGGCACTTTCGTTAATATAAATTGCCAGTTCTATATGTATGTTGCCCATAATATATATAAACTTTGCTTCATTATCTAACATATTGAAATGATGATTTGAGGTTTGTGCTGATTGAAATAACCTCATTCTTGCTTCTTTGTGTTGTGGACAATTAATCAGAAAGTGAAATTCATCCTCAACTTTATTAGTACCACACATTTCACACATTCTATCATCCGCTTTCAAAGGATATTTCCCACAAAGATGGTAGCTTACCAGCCAAGCATGCTTTTTGCCTTGTAAACTAGAGCAGAACAGATGTGCCAAAATAAGGAACCTCTGACCATTCTCTGACCACTACTGATAGATGATGTACTCAGCTTGAATGCATTAATATTTGATTTATTGTAGTATAAAGTTGAATACAGAGGATGGAGACCTATTGTTGGATTATTCAAAAAACATTATTAATGAAGAGATTCTTGGAATGCTTGTACAGCTGGTAAGACGTTATACTAGTATATATATATATATATATGATGTCAACAGACTCAGTCATTACTGTAATTGCTCTATTAGAAGTATATCTCACATAAACCAAAATTTTGAAAAATTACATTTACATATCATTACATATTTTACATATTGATTTTCATTTTCTGTACTATCACTTCAATTATGTAGCCCATTGTGTGTAACATCCTAACATTGCTTGACCTTTCACCTGCTATAATTTCAGTACATAGAAACTCTATGATTGCTGTAATACTGATAATAAAACAGAATTTTCATATTTATATTTTGAAAAGTTGCATAGCTGTATTTAATCTATGGGCCATTTTTGTGCCACTGGACACAAATGTAGATTTTGTTTTAAAAATACTGGTTTGGAATTTGAATTTGGTTTCCCAGGTACCGGTACATAAGCATTTACAGATTAACAAAACTTCTAGGAATATACATCTTGATAACATTAGTCATTGGGATTATAATTAAACAATAATGAATGACCTGCCAACCCACAATGGGAAAACATTTACTTTATGCAAAATATATGGAGCACAAAGTGTGCTTGAGTCCTTCTCCTTTATTCATTTTTGGAGACAACATTGTATTCATATCCATGGCTAGGGGCCTGGATGCTCAATAATGGGATACATTATCACAAATAATCTGCTGCAATGACGTCTTAAAATCCACTGGTATTGATAATGCTATACCGGTAGTATAATTACTAGATTTAATGTCTTGATGATCTAGAGATGTGCACCTTTTATCTTGTGTTAAATCTCCAGTAGCAAGCTGTTAACAGTTTAACTATATTTCCCCCTGTAGGCCAAATCACGATCACTGGAACAGGTTCGTGAGCGCATGTTCTGTGGTGAAAAGATCAACTTTACTGAGAATCGTGCAGTATTACACATAGCTTTACGTAACAGAACCAACCACCCAATCATGGTTGATGGAAAAGATGTAATGCCTGATGTCAACAAAGTTCTTGCTGATATGAGACAATTTACCAAGGTATGCGGGCTATATAGTATATCTTTAGAAATGGCCAACTTATATCTATCAAATCACACTTGTAGAAATGGCCAAGATATCTACCTGGTTACACTTGTAGAAATGGTCATGATGCATCTATCAAATTACTGTGGTAGAAATGGGCAAGATACATTAAATATTCTTTTTGAAGAACATCTTCAAGTGTCAAGCTGTTTATTTTTCGACAGGATAGTTTTGTAAGCACATATATTTTGTGTTTGTATATTGTAGAGTGTCCGAAGTGGTGAGTGGAAAGGGTACACTGGGAAAAGTATTACTGATGTCATTAATATCGGCATTGGAGGATCAGATTTGGTGAGTATTTTCATTATTTATTTTTTGTTCGTCTGTTCAATTACATGTATATGAAAGTTCAAAACCTGTTTTTAATAATGTGAAAACTCAAAGCTGTAAAAGAACAAATAATATAAATTTGAAAATATGTTTTCCTGATTGTCACTTTTAAAAGAAAACAAATTGCTTGTGGATAATTGTTTATTTGTGACTCAGGTCAGTAAGATTTAACCCAATCATCATAAAAGTTACTATATCTAGAAGTAAATATATATTTGTAGGGCCCAGTTATGGTTACAGAAGCATTGAAATACTATGGTACTGGTCCTAGGGTACACTTTGTGTCTAATATTGATGGTACACACCTTGCTGAAGTTACCAAACAATTAAATCCAGAGACATCATTATTTATTATTGCATCAAAGGTGAGTTACAATGACAAGTAGATAACCATGTTAGAGTCAGTATTAATGCTATGTGTGTTTAGCTGCTATACAAGGTTGATATGTAATATGTATGTAGTATTTTAACTGGTATGTGTGAGTTCTACACTTAAATTTGTTCTAATAGCAGTAATATTTGATCAAAAAATAGAAATTCTTCAAAAGTGGGGGCATTTTGCATGGGTGTACATAATTAACTCGTATGTGAAAGTTCTACACAAATGTTATAATGGTAGTGACAGAAATGAAAGTAATTTATGCTTGTTATTTATATTTATACAATGAATCATAGATCATTGGGAATATGAAAATAATATTTTTAAAATGTGACCTTAATATATATTAAGGTATTTAGGGACTAGAATCTGTTGAAACAATTAATTTCCCTCCAATTTAATGATGTACCTGTGGATAAAATTATATGACTCAATGAGTCAATATGACTCCATGTTTTTGAACTCAATTCAAATTTTTACTGCTGCAACATTTCATGATTTTCATCAAAATGTTGTGAAAAATGTTAACATTCTTTTCCATCATCCACTGTATATAGCATTTTGTACACATTGCAGTGACATTTTGGGATTCAAATGTCTCTTTATAAAATATGGGGCTATGTATATGTGAAACTAACATCATGTTTGTGTTTTGTTTTTTTTGACAGACTTTCACAACCCAGGAAACTATCACAAATGCTACATCAGCAAGGACCTGGTTCCTTGGAACTGCAAAGAATCCAGCTGCAGTAGCCAAACACTTTGTTGCGCTCTCAACTAACGGAGTAAGTATCTTTACTGAATAGAATCTCCGTAATCGGTAGTTTTTCCACAAAACAGTACATAATTACATTCAAGTGATGCACTCAGTGTGGGTCCCATGCAACATGTGCAGCACTACTGTTAAGTTAAAACTTTGTTGGAATCATTTAAGCCATGTCTATTTTTAAAAGTTTGTGGAAGAAATTTTTTTTACAATTTTGTCAGAAAAAGTAATAATTTTTTAGTGTGTAGACAATGTCTCTGTTTTGTTCTTTTAATATCATGTAATATTTTTCTTACACTCAACCTTCATGAAAAAAGATATTTTTATCGAGTTTAAATAAAGATTAAATCAAATCAAATCCAACTAATAAAATACATTCAAATGTATTCTGCATGACAACTAGCACCTTTAAGTGTTATTTTTTTTAGCTCAGCAATCAGCTAACACATCGTAAAATATGACTGATTCTCCAAAGTTATCCTGCTTCAAAACATCATGAAGACACTGGTTACTATGGATATTACTGATGAAATACACAACAGATTTGGTGAAAATATGTTTCTCCAAAATACTAAACTAATTTAAGTGGTTTGCCTAACAATGTTTTAATTTGTTTTTCAGGAGAAAGTTGAAGCTTTTGGTATTGACAAGAAAAACATGTTTGGCTTCTGGGATGTAAGTATGTCTGTCCAGTTGAATACATTTCATGATTATTAGATTATCTTCAATACACAAATGATTATTTTAATTAAAGATTAAGATAGTGGAATGCCATCGACTGTGCTCTGAACAAATTTGTATTCTATTGTGGTAACTTACAATTTAGATATATCACATGACCTTAGATTTGCTAATGCTTGGTCTCTATTGGTCAGTAACATTTGCATAAATTAAAGTTTGACATAAACAAAAATAACACTATAAATAAAAAAAAAATGAATACCTACCTATACCTACGTTGGATTTTAATCAGATAAAAAATTGACATCCATCCATACAGATTGATACATCGTAACATACTTGATTTGTATCATTTTTTCACCCAGAATGAGCTTAAATAGTACTAACTTCATCGTGTGAATCAAAACACAATAGTTAAAGTCAGAGTAGCATAAATCCTAGCTATTCTTCAAGTGATTAATATTATAAAACATATTGACATAATTTTCTGATCGTTAGCCATGATGTCAAAAGTTTGATTTGCTTACATGGAACAATCAGAATACTCCCAGTTAATTGTTAATTAAAATGCTTTATTATATATTATATATCCATGATATATATGAGATAAATAATGCATATTCAGGTGCTGTATTGTCATATTTATTTCTATCGAAGGATGGCAAATATAATGCATGTGTAAAGTTGTATTGTCTTATTTATTTCAGTGGGTCGGAGGTCGTTATTCACTTTGGTCAGCTATTGGTCTTTCTATTGCTATATACATTGGCATGGATAGTTTTGAAGCTTTACTCAGTGGTGCACATTTCATGGACAATCATTTCAGGAAAGCCCCCTTGGAAGCCAATGTCCCTGTTATCTTGGCTCTACTTGGTGTGTGGTATCATAACATATATGGTGCTGAATCACATGCTATATTACCATATGACCAGGTAATATTGTATTATAATAAATTGGTATAAATGAAATGTCATATTTGTATATAATGTTACAACTACTTCCTATAAATCTCACATCGATTTGTTTTCGTTTAGAGGAAAACCAAAACTGGTCGAAATTTTCGAATAAGAATATGCCGGCAATTTTTAGTGAAGTCGAAATTTTACTGAAACCCGGCAAATAATTAGGTGGTCGAATTTTTAAAGGGACATTTTTACTGATAAATCTAAAATTTGCAATCTGTGTTTTCAGTACATGCACAGATTTCCTGCCTATTTTCAACAAGGTGATATGGAATCCAATGGTAAATACGTCACACGTAGCGGTCAGAAAGTAGATTACACCACTGGACCTATAATATGGGGAGAACCAGGCACCAATGGACAGCATGCTTTCTACCAATTAATACATCAAGGTAGGCTATAAAATCTCACTTTAAAGCGGGGGGGGGGGTCGTCACCTGCGCATGTGCGGGAATTAAGTCCCAAGTGACGATAACAACACACGCTAAAAACGCAAAGGCTCATGGGTAGACTCTTGTTTGTAAGCAATGACAGGCTATGGCCATCTGACACATGTGCAGGTGACGACACCCCCGCTACCGGCTTTAAGATATAGATTTTACAATTCTACTCTTGAGATCATCCCTATAGCTTTATTTGTTTCTTAGGAATTTTTTAATAATTCAGTTGGACTCTCTCTTCCAGCTAATTTGGATATGATGTAATTCTTAGTGAATTCATGCAGCAAATGAATTCAAATAAACAAAATAAGATGCTGAAATGAAAAGTTTAATAAATATTTTTCACACAATTTAGGCAAATTCAAATCATCAAATATTTTTACCTAATAGTCCCAAGGAATGAAGAGTGCATGCTTAGCTTTAGAATGACCACTCTATCTGCTTTGGTAGCTCAACCAGCAAGATTCATACATCAAGATTCCCAATTACTTTGAGTTGTCTAGTTCTTTTCAATTGATGTTTTCAAATTTTGTTTTTACAGGTACTCGAATGATTCCATGTGATTTCTTGGCATCAGTGGTTACACAAAACCCAATATCTGGAGGTGAACATCATGAAGTAAGATATTGTTTATAATGTTTAGAACTTATTGTATACTGACATATGTTAAGACTATACCATAGATCATGAGAAAATAACTATTTTTGAGGCAGTTGAATTGTTAGAGGAAAAAATTTGTAATCATTATAGTTTTCCTATAGATAGTTATAACATGATGGTAGATGTCAGTGATGATAATAGGCCTTTTTCTATTCACTGCAAGGCCCATGTTATGCATGAAATCGAAAGTAAAAACAAGTTAGACAAAGCGTCGCATTGATGTCAAAACATCACGTTGGATGTGACAAGTACTTTTTAAAGCCAGGTGGTTAAGTTGTTAGAGTAAAATAACAAATTATTGTTTTAAAGCATGACAAATCCATAGTAGAATGTTTATAGTGGCTATATACTTGCTGAAAATTGAAAACAAACATGGTATTATGGGGATCATTAAATTAAATTTTCATCATATGAAAATATGTACTTCTGGTGAATTTTAGAGATGAGATAGTTACCTCCGATAGTTATTGTCTCTGTTTAACATGATTGATTTTCGTACGTAGATTTTACTTTCCAACTTCCTTGCTCAAACTGAAGCATTGATGCGTGGCAAGAGTTCTGATGAAGCCAGGAAAGAACTTGAGAAAGAAGGCAAGTCTGGTGAAGTCTTAGAAAAGATCCTTCCTCACAAGGTACTGTCTTCATTTAATTTGATATCTCATACCTTGCAGCAGAGTGAAATATTCTATCTTTATATGGCATACCATTCACAATTGTGACAAATTACATTTAGGGGGGAAGGGCTTGAACATAGCAATTGAAAAGACACCCATTTTCATGGCTAAATTTGATCAAAATGCCTTAAGCATATAGAAATAATTTAGGGGAAATATGTACATTTAAAAACTTCTCGGGCATTGAGGCAATTGCATGATGGTACCGTATTTATCACATCGATATGATATGATATTTTTAAACTGAAGAAAACATAAGTTTTATACATACTTTGCTATCTCTCTAGGTATTTGAAGGAAACAGACCAAGTAATTCTATCATATATAAGAAACTAACACCATACATGCTTGGCATACTTATTGCTATGTACGAACATAAGATATTTACTCAAGGTGTATTATGGGATATCAACAGTTACGACCAGTGGGGGTAAGTACAGCAGTTCATCACCAGAGATTAGGACTGCTCAATTGGGCATTATCGTAGTTAGTCTTTGAAATTTGAATGAATAAATTGGAACAGAAAATTGCATTTTCATATTATTTTTTTAAATTAAAATTATTTTTACTAAATCCTTAATATTAAATTTGAAATTTGTATTATAATATAATATGTAAATTACCTTCCAGTATTGTAAATAGTTGGTTTATTTACTTGCCATATTCATTCAAACTAACCTATCTTACAATAATTCATTTCCAGTTCTCATACACTTTTTTTGTTTTTCTATTTCAGAGTTGAACTTGGGAAGCAGCTAGCCAAAGTTATTCAACCTGAGATAAGCACTGCTGATCCAGTCAGCAGCCATGACTGTTCAACCAATGGTCTCATTAACTTCATTAAGTCTCACCGTAAATGAATCTCAAAAATATGATATCTAAATACTGAAATATAGATAGCTGTTATTCTGTGATGACGAAAATATTCATTTAATAATTGCTACTAGTATTTGAGAATCTATTTTTACTGAAATTTATTTGCAATTGTAGGTATTTTGTCAGTGTGAGTTAATTATTTTTGCTCTATTTTCCACAATCAAATTGCTTCAATATCAAGTTATGTCAACCAATGTAATTCTACTGTTATCACAATATATAAGATTTATATTTGACAATCATTATCTGCATTATTTGCTCATGATCTTGGCTCACATCTCATCATATTTGGACTTTCAAAAGCAAATTAGATATTTAAAAACTGAGAATGTGTGACAAACTTGTCAGGGCCATAATGATTAAGACTATACATATAAAACTGAAGTTTACAAACATTGAGACCCTGTCATCAAAAATAACACTGCATTGCTGTAGTTTTCAAATGCTTGATGGTGTTTCTGTTGACATTGCATATTATCACATTGCATCCCAATGCAACCAGATATTGCTGATGTATCTGGTCTTCATGGATTCTTACTTTTAATATTATTTGAGTGTTTTCATCATCTATTGCTTACCGGTTTGTAGTTGTGTTTTATTGTCATTTATGTATGTTTACTCAGTACTTTCTATTACCTATGTTGTATATGATAGTTATAATGGTGGACAGTGCTATTCCTCAGCTTATTAATATATGTGGTAATATATTTGACATGATTTTTGTTACATTGTTTGCATTTCTTATATGGAAATATGAATAATTCATGACATGCAAGTTACAGACTTTTGCATGTAAAATGCAGTATAACAATATATAGAAAATAAAATGAGTAATGTATGTAGATATTGAAATTTGATATGCACAAAGTGTAGATCCTAGTTATATTTGCTCACACCAATGGTGAATAAGATTTTACCTAAATTTAGCAAAATATATTTTATAGTGTTCTTAATTTGACAAGCAAAAATTATTGTTAATTTGAGATGAAAAAGAGTTTATTTACATAGACTTTAGGCTAAAAAACAATTTCTGGTTCTGAGATGACTTTTTTTCATGCTTTCATATTTTCAATATTTTGGCAGAAATTATAAAAAAGTGTTCTTTTTTTGAACTGAAGCATGTTGACCAGAAACAAACCATTTTTGGCATTAGTTTGGTTGGCTATTTAATCTACATCGTGGATTTTCTGTGCTCTGTATGAATGCAAGTGTGGTCATTGCATAAAACATAGAGATAAGTTTGAGTTTACGGGAAGAATCCTGTTACCACATCACAGTGATCTGATCTGTTTCTTGATTCATTTGATTTCACTCTGATTTACTAGATGTGTGTCTTCTTCAGTTCTACAAAGTTTCAATTGTCAGTTTTATTTGTCTTAAATTTGTTATAGCATATGCAGTTTATTTACTGGATTGTTCTTATTGCACGTTCATCATAGTATTTTATTGATTGTTTGTTTTGCATTATTTATTTTGTTCAGTGTCTCAAATATCTATTCAGTAAGCCTTGGATACAAATGAATGCCAAGATCTCATTGAGAGTGAGAGTGAGAGAGCCACAAGCCCCTCAAATAGTGTTCCATTTTTGCTTGTTATCATGTCCACTGATATTTGTAATCATTTATTTTTGCTTGTTATCATGTCCACTGATATTTGTAATCATTTATTTTGATTAGTGGATTTTATGGTGAGAGAAAATGGAACAATATTTATGTGGTTCTCTGAATCACAATGAGGACTCTGTAGCCATTTACATCAAAGGTATATTTTTACAATGATTCACGAGTCTTTCATTTTTCTGGATCTGAAACATTTTGTATTCTGTTATACAAATACATAATGTTTTGCATGGAAAATAATAGTAGGCCATACAAGTAGTTGTTATTCAAATGTCATTAACCTAAATGCATGATTATTATCTCTTAATACCGATATGAGCTGTTCTTATGTAATGAGAAAAAACGTTCAAAAGTCGTATATGTTCTTACTCATTGTATGGGCATCAGTACTAGCTTTGCTTTACTCTGTATAATAAATGGTGGTGAATCAAATGAAATGTTTCTGTGTTTTCATGATTTAAGAACTGTTCTGTTTTGATCACGAGTATTACATTCATTGCTTACATCCGATCATATAAGACTTTCCATCCATCTCAGCTTGTGCAGCTATCCAACTATCGAGAGAAAATTTATGTGTTTTCTCTATAACTAAACAACAAATCTAGAATGTGTCCACATTGAGGAGTCATAACACTCTAATATGTGATGGAGATGTCTTTCAAATAAATCAATATGTCAACAACAACCCCCTCCTCTCCTCACACACATACATGCCTTCAATAATTAACGTGGGATTTCATTCAGTTCAATCAAGTGTCTTTGTATAATATAACCTGGTCAATTATTATTTGCCATGTTCAGTTACAAATAGAGCTTCAAATGGAATTTTACAAGATTTATATCACACAATTTATTATGATCAAAACTACTCGTAATTTAAAATCTTGGCGTGCTTGTGCTTACCCATTTGAAATCTGGAATTTGTATTTACACATATTTTATTTACTTATATCCTATGACAATTTTAATATTCACATAATTGTATGTTATGCATCATGCAATTTAAATTTTTTTTTCCTTTCACCTGCAACCAATCCTCCCCCTGTTTTCAAATGAGGCAACACTAATTGTATAAAATTATGTCCCGCAAGATCAGGTCGGCACAATATACTAGACTAGTGTAATATCTTACTGTGCTGGGTGTTTAGATTGATAAAATGTTTTTGCTTCTTTCTCTCTCTCTCTCTCTCATTCAAGAAATATAGTTGCCCATGATACAATATTTAAGTGGAGTTGCTGGTGGCGCTGTTCAAATATAGGATGAACGCGCCACCACCGACGTACATCAAAGTCTGAAAAAAGTAAATCTTGCACATAGTTCTGAGAGTTGTATGACAGACACCAAGGAAACAATTATAATTACAACAAAATGAATATACAGTAAACAAAATATTATTACAACTTGTTTTTATCAATATTATGAAATTTCATGTTCATTCTTTCTCATTATAGGTTCTTTTTCGTTTTGACAAGTACTTGATTTACTTTGTGCTGCCACGATCTGGAGAGACCGGAGTGACGTCACTATCCAGGATACAGAGACATCTCGTGCTTTCTTTGCATAGCAACCTACCATATTTGATGATCTTTTGGTTACAGTCACTCCAAAGTAAATTGAGTAGCTGCGACTACATCTTCAAAGTTGATTTTCCGCCAGTACGCATTTTCTGTAAATCACTGCAGAATTGGTTATAAAATCATCATGTCAAATACATTGTAATATGAAGCAGTAGAAAACGAAAAGTTCTCTCATTTTCTTCTGAGTACATTGCAAAAAAAAAAACCTTCTTGATAACCAGAGATCAAATCCTTCATTCAACTTTGTTTATTTTACTTTGATTTTGATTTTTTTTAATTCCGCCCTACCTACATCAGATGTATGTAGGGCGGAATTAAAAAAACCCCACAAAATCAAAATCAAAAAATTAAATAAGTTGATAGCCAAAATCATTAAAGCCCGCACACTACATCAGATTTTAATCAAATTGGGCTCTGGAAGAGAGACAGTGACGATTGCACCACGATTTTTTAATATATGTCACTATAATGACACTTGCATGTATAACCGACAGTCCTTATTTGACACAATTTACATTTGTCGCTGATTCTCAGTATTCTGTTATGTCCGATTAAAATACGTTATTCCATACGAATATTTGAACTATTAATAATCTACGTTAGAGATCTATAATACGCCCCTCTGTTGTCATAGTAACATCTACCAGCATATATGGATTATTAAAATAAAGTGAGATTAAAGCAAAAATATTTAAAGAGATGACATTTAGATGTGCGAGGCCACTTGACTCTTCCGGAAGGTGAATACGACCCAATATAATACAATAGTAATGGCTTCATGTTTCATTTGCATGTATGTACAATATAAAATTAAATTAAATTGGAGATGATATTATTGATAATATTGCATTATGTGACTATTGAACTAGGTATCAGTGCCGGGAACTTTGAACTAGGAGTGACCTCTGGATAAAAATCCTCTTCCTTTCATTGTGACATATTTATTACTATGTGTAAACGATTCGAATGTACTGCATAGCCCTTTGTGTATTCCAGGTCGCGTACCATGGGTATTAATTAACCAGTTTTGATGAAGAAAAACATTTGATTGAAAGTTAATACTTAGTGAGCAATTTTTAATTACGATTTGTCTGTCCCTTCCCGTCACTACAATACACAACTACACTGCAATGGAATAGTCGATATATGATGCCACGTGATGTCCCGGGGACTAACACGTAACAAACAATCATGGCTGCTAGTTCAGCGCAATCAGATATTATTCTCAACAGAATTGAGGAGGATTTTTTGACTTGTCCTATATGTTTAAATCAGTATGTTAAGGCAAGGATACTACCATGTCTACATACATTCTGTGAGGGATGTCTGACTGCGCTTGTAGCGAAAACAGGGAGGTTAGTGTGTCCCAGCTGTAACTCGGAGTGTACCACAGACGTGACAAAACTGAAGAACCACTTTCTCATGAACAACTTGGTGGAGGTTTTTGAAAGCAGACAGGCACTGGTAGATGGTAAACCAGTGAATTGTGATGGGTGCAAGAAGAGTGCCGCAACACATAGGTGTATTGAGTGTGTCAAAGTCCTTTGCGATCCCTGTTTTATATGCCATGGTAGTTTGGATATTGCCAGAGGTCATCGCACTTTTACATTGGAAAGATATGAAGAGCTCAGTTCAACAAATCCCACGTCTTTACAGCCTATTGTTTATTGTTCAACCCATCATGAACAGAAGCTTAAATATTACTGTGATATGTGTGATGAAGCAGGTTGTGTCGAATGTTTTCTGATTTCACATTATGGGCATGGTAAACCAAGAGAAATAAAAGAAGTGGCAGCTGAGTATACTAAGGAGTTGTCAAAACGTGTAGATGAACTGAAAGTGAAATCACAGAGCGCCACCAGTGGTAAGATTGCTATAGAAAATGCAGTAACAGATCTGGACATAACATACCAAGAACAGGAGGCATTGGTAAGACGAAAGTCAAAAGAGGTCATTTCAAAGGTCAAGAAAGAGGAGACAAAATTAATTGAAGAATTGTATATGGAGTACATGGCAAAGAAGAAAGTATTGGATTCTCACAAGCAAGCCTTCGATCATATGGAGAAGGATTTGCATAGTGCACAAAATTATGCAGAGACTATGATTTACTATGGTAATGCTGCACAGTTGATGTCCACAAAGCAGGAAATTAAAGAGCGAATCAACCACTTGCTGTCCCTAGATGCGACCCCAAAGACAGATATAGAAATGTTGACATTTGTAGCAAACAGAGATGAGTTATATGGTAATTATATCGGGAGATTGGAAAAGCCAGCATGTGCATCCAAGTGCATTGTGGGGTATGTTCCTGATAGAATGGTACAAGGTGCTAATAAAGAGGTTACAGTCACAACAAAAGACTCAACTGGCAAACGTGTGACACATCAGCTAATCACAGCCAAGTTAAAACATCCAAATGGATCACTATCTAAGTTGTTTGTGACAAATAATTTTGATGGAACACAAACGATTTTGTTGTGTACAGCTGATGTTGGTAGATACATCCTTTGCTTAGAAGTGGATGGCACACTGATTCCGGGATCTCCATTTGAGATTGTTGTTGCAAAGGGTCAGATAAAAGATTTAGGAGAAGAAGGAAATGAACCCGGCCAATTGAAGTATCCTCAGGGTGTAACTCTCAATAATGAAGGGCATGTGGTGATTGCTGACACTGACAACAAGCGTATACAAACAATGGATCTCAAGCTGGGTCAAAGTCAACTTACATTTTCTATTGCTGGACAGTTTAAGCCTCTTGATATCGCTGTATCTAAAGATAACAAGTACTTTATTACTGATTCTGCCAATTCCCAAGTTGTAGTCACCTGCAAGCTTGGTGAATTAATTCATTGCTTTGGGAGCAATGAACTGAAAGATCCAATGGGGATCTCGATCAGCCCGATTGAGGATGCAGTATTTGTGACTGACTGTCGCGAGAACTACATCAGAAAGTACAAGGAGAGTGGTCAATATATGTGTAGCTTTGGTGGCCATGGAACTAGAGATGGACAATTCTTGGGTCCGTGTTTCATAGACTGTGACAAACAAGGACAGGTGTATGTTTCGGACATTGGCAACAACCGCATTCAAGTCTTCAACAAAAATTGCCAATATATGTATAGTATTGGTACTGGGAGTCAGTTGACAAATCCACGTGGTGTGGCCACTGGAGAAGATAACTGTGTGTATGTTACTGATGATTCTAACCAAATACATAAATTTCACAGGAAAGGCAAATTCCTTGGTAGCATAAATCCTGGTCTAAATGGCCCCAAAGGCATTGTTGTGACTTGTAACAAAGGTAATAGTGTTGTTGTTGTAGCTGATTCCAACAACCACCGCATCAATGTATTTGAGTAACAATTCTGTGAAGTCACTTACTGCTATTTTGTACATGAAACTTGCAGATGTGATTTTGGGGGAACATCGGATAAGGTATGCAAGATCTTGTGTTTTACTGGGCCAGGTTGACACCAGGATAACATTAAATTGACATTTGATAGAGAGGGGACTGCACAGCCCTGCCATGTACATGTACTACCAAATTAAAAACATGGTTAAGGTGTTATGTCACAAAATGTACCTGCAAAGGTGTAACCCAGTATTTGGATCTGTGACAGTGTCACAAAAAATAAAATCTATGAAATACTTTCATAATCAACAAGATTGTATTCAAGTTTAAAATATTGTAATAATACATAACATAATGTATCATAACATATTGTAGAACAAGTTGTTAATTTTGTTTTTTTACTGACTTGGCTAGGTCCTTTCGATGATTTTGTCACTGACTAGGCGAGTTTTCATTGGAAATCACACAAGTATTTCAAATTACTGTATTGAATGACAATCTCTGAAATATCGTGTACATTCATTTTCTAGTATACATGTAATACTAGTAACATATATTGAGTTATAGCAAGATATCCCAATTTTTAATATGAATCTTGCGTTTTAGATTATATTAACACATTTGGTATTTGAGAGCTATAAATTCATTTGATATTATAGTGCAACACGTGTTGGAGGTGATGACAGAGCAATTTATATTCAGGGCTAACAAGTTGTTGTATATTCTAATATTTTACTTCATATTGAATATGAATTCCAATTATCTGATTTTTATGCTGCTAATTGTTCCTGCAAAAGGTTTTTTTTTTCTTTTTTCTTCAGATTTATACAGTTCAGTTTTTTGATTGCTTTAAATAGATCTGTATAATTCTCAATTACAAAGACGAATGCCTCTCAAGTCTCAGTCCTTTAGAGGTGTGATATGTGTTTCTGTATACATAATTAGGTTTAATGATCCTAATAAATTTGTGATTTTCTTGAATCTTCTTCTGGTATATATATATTTATATATATACATTGTATATATATATATATGGGGCAGTCACCTAGAATTGACTTCTGAGAAAGTTTTGAAGTGGAATGATTAAAAGCAATTATTATAAATCACCTGTATATATATATATATTTATAAACCAAAAAGACATATCGTTTCCCTTAATCTGGCACATGGTAAACAAGCCACCCCCCCCCCAAAAAAAAACCTTTGTGAGCTGAGTATCCTGGACACTAAGTTGGACAAGTATGGTACATTGTACATACCGGTACATGTGTTAAACCAGAGTTATTGGGGAACCAGAATTGTAATTGCATATATGTGAGCTTTGAATACAAACACAACATTCAGCACTATCGATGAGGTTTGATTAACAAACCTCATTGACTATGTAAAATGTAAATTGAAATTGACCTCACTGTGATGACAAATGCGTTGTGGAATATGGAAAAAGGGACCGAAGCATGCGCACTGCGTACACAATATGCTAATGACTTTTAACAAGGTTACCGGGTATAACGTAAACAAAACTTGTGTATATTATTTGTTCAATTATTAATAGAAAGCATTTATTATGAAATGCCGGAATCAGGAGGATGTACAGTGTCTTACAGGGAGAGCTATTTTGAAATTGAATAAGGGGGGGGGGGGGGCATGCTATTTTCCATAGTCTGGGAGGGGGCAATCAATTTGGTTTTGTGTAGAAACAAATTACATAGTTTAAACAGACATAATATTTACAGATTATTGTACATTTTTCATTGCATAGAAACATTCAAGTTTATGAACTTTCTTTTAACACTTTCAAAATTCAAACTTTTATTTTTCCCACAAAATGTAAAGTTTATTGTACTTGTTAAATGTTAATAAACAACCAATGCTTCTACCGGTACTCAAATAGTTTTCTTTTTTGAATAACTCAACTCATTATAATGTATAATACCTAAGAAGGTAGCAAAAAATGAAATTTATTATTAATAAACGATAAATAACATAAACCTGTATATGAGCTATTTGTAACTCCTAAATACATAATAAAAATAATAATTGGGTCATGATTTATTATCATGAAGCAAGATAATATTAAAGCTGTCACATGTGATGTTCTAAGAAAAGCTGACAGAGATGATATGCTGAAAAACAAGTAGTGGGGCACATTCAGAAATCACAGGCCATTGATAGATATACAGCAGATTCTACAGAGGATGTTTCAGAGGTAGTGTATACTTTTCAGAACTCGGAACCTCGGAACCAACTTCTCAGAGCCCAATTTCAGAATAGCTTCCTTATATCATCGGAAGTCACCTCTTAGCAACCATTAGCAGCAACCATTGAGCCGATTTCGTTCATATTTGGTAGGATTACACCTTGGCACGAGTAGATGTGCTTCTGACAGTAATGACCACGCCCATCCAAAAATATGCAAATTAGATCAATGCAGTTTTTTGCTGCTATTTCTACCACCACCGTATCGATTATATTCATATTTGGTATGATTACACCTTGGCACGAGTAAATGTGCTTTTGGCAATAATGACCACGCCCTCCCAAAAATATGCAAATTAGATCAATGCAGTTATTTGCTCAAGTATTTGCTTCTGTGAGTGTGTATTTAGGAATATATTCAAGGAAATAAACTAATTGTCATTGTCAAAGCATTCAGAAGGGGAACACTACAAAGAAATGAACAATTCTATTATCAAAATGAAAAACTTTGCTGTGTCAACTCATATAATTATCTTGGAATAATCTTTCAGTCAAATGGTAAATTTACAGAAGCTAGAGACAACCTAGCAGATAAAGCAATCAAAGCCATGTATGCACTAAAGCAGTCTTTACCAAAAGAAACAGACTGTAAAACGTACATCCATCTGTTTAATATATGTATCAAACCAATTTTACTGTATGGATCTGAAATTTGGGGAATGGAAAATATGAGTAACAATAACTGGGACAAAACTAAAACAGAAAAAGTGCATCTAAAATTCATTAAACAACTACTTGGGCTTAATAAATACACAGCGAATAGTGCATGTCGGGGTGAAATTGGAGCATTTCCATTGATAACTGAAGTGAAAATCAATATGATTAAGTTCTGGTCCCGTGTCACAGACAAGTCACAAAATAATTATACAAAGATAGCGTTAAGCGATCAGACTTTGTCAAAAGCACAATGGGAAACATCAGTCAAAAATATCTTGAAAGATGTAGACCTCTCTAAAACATCACAGCTATCACATCAAAATATTAAGGAAATTAGCAGCACTATTAAACAACAATACATAACATACTGGAGAGAGAATATGACAAATGAAAAAACAAAACTGAGAACATACATTAAATTTAAAATTAATTACAATCTGGAAAATTACATTAATGTTTTGGATAATAATCAAAGAATATCAATGGCTAGATTCAGGACAAGTAGTCACAATCTAGCCATTGAAAAAGGCAGACATACCAATCCAAAAACCCCATTAGAAAATAGAATTTGTAAACAATGCCCATTACAGGAGATCGAAGACGAATTACACTTTCTTTTAGTTTGCCCACGATATCAAACAGATAGAAATGATTTTATTTCCAATATTTTATTCCCCAAAGAAATCATTACCAACCTGCAAAAATTCACATATTTAATGAAAAGTAATGACAGAAATATAATAAAACTTTTAGGGGAATTTTTACATAAATCATTTATTTTAAGAAATGAGCTTTTTTTGGATATAATACCTTGACTCTTTTTTTCTATTTTTTACGTTATCGTACTTTGATTTTTTTTAATCACTTATATATTTATTGCTGTAAACCAATAGAACATTTGTAATTCTAAGGATGCAATAAAGTTATTATTATTATTATTATTATTAAGCATTTTGGTACAATTTTACTGAAAAGACGATTTTTCCATTAATTAATAATTAATTATTAATTTATGCAAATGAGACGATTATTTCCACCAATCATGTCCTGCACCCCCCCCCCCCCCCGGGCCCTGGTAGTAAACGAAAGCTCGCCGCAAGAAAAAAGAAAGAAAAAAACATACGATCATTCTACCACAAGAGGGCGTCTGTAGGGTTAAAGGTTACTAAGGTATGGCTGCCTTCGTAAGAACCGCATGTTGGCTCGGTGTTTGCGAAGTTAGGTCATGCTCATTGTTTACATTTTCATCAAAGTTTGCATCCAAGGCAAGACAGTTGTGTTCAAAGTTAGGATGTGACGAATCGAACCATACAAGCAATGATTGTAAGAAAATAACTGTTCAAGATTCAGCTGATAAAATCGGTAGCTCAGACTTGGAGATCGACGGTAAACAAGTCAAAGAACTACTGGATAGCTTTGCAAAACCAGATATAGCCGAACAAGAAGCTTTAACTGGTCTTTCTGATGAAAATTCTAATTTGCAATTGCCTCGAAGGAAGCCCGCGGTGGACCCCGCGGATACAAGCATTCTTCTGTTCCCAGGTCAAGGATCTCAGTTTGTGGGTATGGGAGAGAAACTTTTAGGAGCGCCTAATGTGAAGGAAATTTACCAAGCTGCATCGGAAATATTAGGGTATGATCTTTTAGAACTGTGTTTGAATGGACCAAAAGAAGAGTTAGATAAAACTATTCATTGTCAACCAGCAGTGTTTGTAACGTCCATTGCTGCAGCTCAAAGTTTACAACACCAAAACCCATGGGCAAGTATTCCTATTTAAATATAATAGTAAAACAAAACTATATACATGTAAAGTGGACTACAATAGTTTTCAACTAGCTGGGAAAGTTTTTTTTTTTGGTGAAAATTTAAACACTATAATAACTTCAAATTAATCATTCCCAGAAATACATTTTAGTTAATACATGTGCATGGAAGGTACTAACGGATCAGTTAGTACCTTCAATGGTTAATACATATAGTACAAGTACATGTACTATCGTGATTTTAGCTGGTGCAGAACATTAAAGCACATGCTGTGTGTAAGTCTCACATCTTAAACTGTGTATACATATTTTGCAGGAAATAAATAACCTCTGATAAAGGTTTAATTTTGAAGCCATATTGCATTTAAGTGAATGGAAATTATCACATACTGCATGCGATATATGTCAAGACCAATCACAGAACAAAATAACAATAACAGAATGTGCACTGATGACGGTACTTCTTGAATTTGTTGTTTACGTCACATGGCACCTACATCATATATAAATAAGGGGTGTGATAACTGATCAGCAATATTATCCAAATACTAGTACTATGTATTCACCAACGTAAACTGTACTGTTACAACTATATTTACTTTGTTAAACAGGTGAATTTTTATTCATGTATTTCATATTGTAGGCAATTGACAACTGTGTGGCCACTGCTGGTTTCAGTGTGGGTGAGTTTGCAGCGCTTGTGTTTGCCGGTGTAATGCAATTTGAAGATGGTGAGTAATTAAGACATTATTACTATTGCCGTGCTGTTTAGTGGCAAAGCCCTTCTGTGATCTCAAAATGATGTATATCAGTCAAAGCAAAGTTGTTCAAATTATGTTGTGTAGTTGTTCTCTAGAATCCGGTAAAATCTGTCAAAAACGTGATCCCCATTTATACATGATTAAACATAAAAACAATATCAGTGCTTTGAACAGCCTTTGTGCCACCAATTTTTGTGAATGCTTCGTCGCTAAAGTGTCTGACTTGTATGAAAGGTGTATTAGAGGCCTTTAGTGGTAATACTGTAGCTACTTAATTAATGTGTGTTATTGTGAGAAGTGTGTAGCTGAGCAAGGCTGTCCCCGATTGGCTTCCCAAGTAATTGAACTTCATGGCGGAACAGTGTGTCATAACCTAACTCTATTTAACCTCAGGTTCAGACAATTTTTTGTTTCTGAATATTCTCTACGTCTATATTCAAATTTATCTCGAATTTTAGTATGTATTTTATGTTTTGTTTCCTAAGCCCTGAGGTTGGTTCAGATTCGAGCTAAAGCTATGCAGAGAGCTTCTGAAGATGTCGCTAGTGGAATGATATCAGTTATGGGTACACACACTACCAAGTATAGATCAGCCTGTCTGGAGGCTCGCAGTTACTGTAACAATGTGTTAGGATTACCAGATCCAGTATGTTCTATTGCAAACTATTTATTTCCAGATGGTAGGGTCATTGCTGGTAATGTAGAGGTGAGTTAATATGGAAATGGTGGTTGCGGGGATGGCACTGTTTCAGCTAAATAGTTTTATTCATGATTACAAGATCTTACTAAAAATATATTTGACGTAATCGTAGAATGTTGTCCAGATACTGAAATAGATCAAATGCAGTGCCACGATAATAAACAATTTTTCAACCCCATTACTTTGTTGGGGCTTTTTAGTGATGTATCATAAATCCCATGGAAGTTTACTACCCAAACAAAAAACATTACAAAAATATTTCAACACTGCAACTGTTATAAATGCACCTGTTGCTTGTTTTGGATTACTGATTTTCTTGTCAGAATCAAACAACCTATGTATATTGGAATTATTTGAAACATGTTTTATTTTACATTACAATCTCATATATTTTATCTTGATATATTATTTGTTTATTTATACTTGTTTTCTTCTTTTCTTGGTATCTCTCCTTATATGTTTAGATTGAACAAATTTGGAGTGGTGAAACAAAAACATTACTCATACTGTATTTACTATATTAGTAGAACTGCATTTGATCTAGGAAAAACACCCATAAATCAAAAAATGCATTTATTGTATGCTGGATCGTTGAAATAAGACTTATTTTGACCATGAATACAACTATGTCATTTTCGTAAGCGCATACAGTGGTATATGCATTTAGGTATTGAAGAGGGAAGGGAAAATATCTTAATGTTAACCAGTGTTGACAGTTGTTGGCTTGCCTCATTGGAGTCTGTTGCATATTTTAGTACTTGCTGCTCTTTTTTGGTTCTTGATCATCATACTATATGATTCATGTTTTTTCACAGGCATTGCAGTTCATATCAGAGAATGCAAGACAGTTTGGTATACGCAATGTAAAGCGTCTTCCAGTCAGTGGAGCATTCCACACGTCACTGATGACCTCAGCCCAGTATGACTTCAGAGAAGCCATTAAAGACTTGAAACTTGAACGACCTTCAATCTATGTCATATCTAACGTAGAAGGAAAGAGATACAGTTTATTAAAACAGATCAAAAATGCCTTGGTGAAACAGATTGTGTCGCCAGTGAAATGGGAACAGTCCATGCATGTGTTGTACCAGAGGAGACAAGGAACGAGTTTCCCACAAACTTTTGAAGTAGGACCTGGCAAACAGCTGGGTGCATTGTTGAAAAGGTTAAATTTAAAGGCTTGGAATAGTTATAAAAGTGTAGAAGTGTAGTTACTGCAGTATCCAGCTTCTTTAACTCGTTGAACACCAAGGTCAACTTTTGTCACCTTCGCAAAACAAACTGACATATTTTTTTCCACATTTTATCAAAAAATCAAGACTGCAAGAAAAAAATTGTCTATTTGGTTCAAAATTAACAGAGAAGATTTAGGTACATAAAAATACTTAAAATATTGACCAACATGTTGGCATGGAAAATTATGTCATTCAAGGTGTGGGTCCCACACACCATAATATGGGTTGTTTATTTCCATAGAACACATACAGCTGTGATGGCTACCAAGGGCATATGAAAAATGGGTATTTTGGGTTATTTTCAGACCCTTTAGTAAGGGTAGGTCTGAATTTTATTTTCAGTTGTCTGCTCAAAATCTTTGTTTTTTAACTTGTAACTGCATGTACAATGTAGGTTTAGGTTACAGGAATAAAATAATTATTTCATGTTTGAATGAAATTTGTCATTGCCTATTTCCAATCTAAAATTCCAAAATAAACTTGAGGTTAAAAGAAACCATTGATGCTTTTGTCTGTGTGTCATCTCACCATGCTGTCATATTGGATTGCATCACATAAAATAGAGCCAATTATCTGTCACTCAATGATTTACAATAAGTTATATCATATCAATTTGTAAACAGTCAGTTTTATTCGCAAATGACAAAAGTTCCATTGTCTTAGAAGGTAGTGGTCAAAAAGTGACTGACATTCTGTTTCACTCAAAATGCAATATTGCCATACATGAAACTGATAAAAAAAGAGTTTGATGAGAATTCAACATCTTTGACCAAACATTACAGGAGTAGTGATGGAGATGGTTCTTGTTGCTAAGGATACAAGCCACCCACTAACTCCCCTCTTTGCTGTTCACTTAGAAGTATAGCCATCTATAATTGTTTTTTATGAATTATGCTTTTTGCATATTAATGAGAAAAGCTCATGCGTGTTGATATTTAAAACTATGGTCACCAGAATAGTTGTGTACCATACTAAAACATGAATGTAGTCATCAAGGAAAAATGTTAGGAATCGAGAAAAGATCCTTTTTTATGCACACTGATGAACGAGTTCTTATGGGAAAAGTGCCATAAAGACCTGAACATAAAATCAAATCTTCATTGATGATATTTTTAGTAATATAGCAACCAAAACAGGGACTTTTGTTTTGGTTCCTCGCATACATCTGCATGACAAATTCTTAGACCTGAGTGCATACACTGCTAGCCATTTTGTTTTCTACGCATTTCATAGGTAGACTTGCAGATTTAAAAAAAAAAAAAAATCAACTTTCTTTGGCATTCCTGGGCTGATTTTATTCAAATTTGGCATGGACATCACATACGATGGTTTACTGATGTACCTCAGTGCAACTAAATGAGACGAGCGGTCATTTTATGTTCTTGACCATTTCTTGGACATGCTTCGACCGTTTTTGTTGAAAGTAGGTACAAAGCCGGGACATAATTTAAATGCTGTAAAATACTTTATATTCGCTTGGAATTAATTTTCGCTATTTTTGGAATGATTCAGTGAAAATAAAATCCAGCGAATATTTTTTTTTTTCCTATAGTTTACCAGTACATTCAACTTGTCAAAAATCAGTGAAAATTAATTCCATACAAAACGTCTTTTCAGCGAAAATTAATTCCAACTAAAATAAAGTATTCTACAGTATGTATGATGATTTTTTTATTTAATGACATTTGACTGACTGGTGTCTATCTCTTCCCCCCTTGTCAAAAAGGTACGTTTCTGAGACGTCTTTGTTGATTTTATTAAAAATTAATATGAATATCTTGCATGATTGATGCTAGTCAGTATGTATTGTTTTGATTAAAAATTGGTGACTGGTGGCCATTTTGGTTATTTACATATTCAAAGTTTGCATTTATGTTTTTGAATGCCATATTTGCTCTATTTGAAGCACAACTGACTAAATAAAACATTTCAATGAATTGTGCACCCCCTCCCTGGGGTTGGGGGTCCTAAACTGGAATGATTTCAAATACCTTGTTTATAGCCCATTTTTGAACCTTAATGACTTCATCTTCAACAATCCCCACCCAATGTACTAGGAGTCTTCAAATGTAT